AGTCGAAGAGACTGGCTCGACGACCCTTTGCAAAGATCGTTATTAAAACACTGTAATAATCTAACAGGATTTCTGAAAAAAACAAACGGGAAAACTTCACATATCCGCATCAACGTTTATAGACAACAAATAAACTTAGTTATGAATTTAATAAACCATTGATTTTTTTTTAATAAAGCGTGGTATCCAGACAGAGATTAAATTTCTTCGTTTTCAATTAGAAACAGCTAAATTATACCTTATAAAAGCTCAGTCACTCGGGTGAGAAAGTCCCATGCATAATGTTAAGCCAAGGCCAGTAACAGCTTCAGGGCATTAACGCTTCATCGCACTGTGGTAACTATATGTACCACTTTCTTTAAAATTCATGACTCTTTGTTTTTCCCATAGTGCCCCATTTATTTTCAGAATAAACTGATTTTTTCGCTGAACATAGTCGAACGAGTTAATCACTAAATATTTTAATCTCCTTCAGCTGAACTTCACGGTTCAGATGATCAGAACAAGGACAGCTTTTGTGAGATTCAATTACAAAAATATATCTTTGTATTTATCGATTTCTGAGTTATTTAAATACACTACTTGTTACGAGTCATTAAAAATTTCTTGAAGATGATCATGTGTGAGAAATTGCGAGAACTTTCTGCAGAGTTTGATGGAACTTCTCGACAGCAGAATCAGCAACTACCCCAAGATTCGAATCAGTTACCTCTTGAAAGAAAGTTCAGAGTATTAGCGTTACCGTGCATCGCTAGAGGCTTGAATAAATGACTCACTCCCTTAAAGCTGACTTTAAATGCATACCTAGCGTTAAAAAGAATGATACTTCAATAGAAATGAATAGAATATTATTATCTTTTATTCATAACTTCTTATATATCCATTGAATTTCACAATAGTTGGTGCTTCTTACAGTATTTTGTGATGCTTTGTAGTTCTGAGGCCAGCTCTTCAGGAGAAGCTTAAGGATGCTGCTCTTTCCAAGAAGTGTTGTCTCGCCCAGTAACATTTATTTATATATATAGTAACGATCTGATGTTACGATCCATCAAGCTGCTGAATCAGTTACGGTGCACGCTGTATAAATAATTATAAAAATAATAATTGGAAACCGCTTTATAACGAGGGCTACTACCATTATTCTGTTAGTCGAATCATGGCATTACGAATGGCAATAAAGAATATAACGAGTTTCGTGGAACATATTAAGTGACAACAGACAAACTGCTTATGAAACGAATATATTCTAATTTATATCGAGACCTACAATCGAACATCATTCTTTATTTCGATATACCTGCAGACTTTTGTGGGATAAAAGTGAAGTTTTACGTGGAATTTTAACACAGTCTTTATAAACTGGTCCCCTGTACCATTTATTTTTAAGCAGGCATATGAATAAACTCAGTGGGGCAACGTTTGGTTAAATTCCACAATCGCTAACGCTCATAATGAAACTAATTTTCGAATAAATTAACGTCGCTTATACAACGTAGTCAGGATACAAATAAAAAGTCCTTTCCAAAAATTATGCGTCTCCGAATCTACTCTTCATGTCCTCAGAACATATCAGGATTTATAAATTAATAATAATTCGAAATAATTATTATTTTGGTGTATAATTTATATTAATACAAACTTCAACGTGATACGTTTGCACTGTTTACACACGTGATCGTTATTTATGAGACAAATTTTTTTTATGTACATTAAAGACCCATCTTAATATGAAATTTCACTGAACAATTTCAAATGCAGATTAACCGCTACTAATATTTTATTGTTTTAAACTGTACAAAACTTTATGTAGTTTAACAGGATTATCACATATAAATTTAGTAACACGGACAGCACCGGTACTACTACCACCTCAGGAGTTCGTATGGTCTTTATGTTAGTATTATGTGTGGTAGGAATTTAAACATTACGAATGTGTGGTGACCTCTAAAGGAATTTATCGCCCCGATGATGGAAGCAGCAGAGACCTCTGAAACGTCAATAAACTTCTCTACCAGACTACAGAAGTCAGACGTCTTCGACATACCGTTCATGAACGTCCTTCAGATGGATAAAAATTAATGTAAAAAGGAACATAGACTGAATAACACGTGGACATGGTACAGTACACACATACACACTGAATACGCTACTTTACCAGCAAGAAAAATAATAAATGTTCGGCAATTATATTATCATTAGATGTTTTACAGTAGATTCTGTGGTACGTACAGAACAGTTAAAAAGTTGCAAATAGAAGGAAGTTATTGTTAGCGCACTAAATGTGTAGGTTAGAGCAGTGGTACTTAACCTGGGGTACGCGTACCCCCGGGGGTACGCGAAGACATCTTAGGGGGGTACGTGAAATTTAAAAAAATATATATTATTTTGTGATAAACACTGAATAATCAGTAATGTAATTTATTTAATTTATTTTAGATGTAGATTATATAATATGTATAACTTGAATTATACACCAACATCTTAGGGGGTACGTGAAATTTAAAAAAAACATCTATATTATTTTATGATAAACACTGAATAATCAGTAATGTAATTTATTTAATTTATTTTAGATGTAGATTATATAATATGTATAACTTGAATTATACACCAACATCTTAGGGGGTACGTGAAATTTAAAAAAAACATCTATATTATTTTATGATAAGTAATTTATTTAATTTATTTTAGAAGTGCATTATATACTATGTATAACTTGAATTATACACCATCCTAGGGGGTACGTGAAATTTAAAAGAAAATATATTATTTTATGATAACCACTGAATAATCAGTAAAGTAATTTATTTAATTTATTTTAGAAGTGCATTATATACTATGTATAACTTGAATTATACACCAACAAATTTAGGGGTATGAAATTGAAGAGGAAATTATATCTGGGGGTACGCGAACAAAAAAGGTTGAATACCACTGCGTTAGAGATTACGCCACCTCCTGGAGTGTTGACGTGTATAAGATCATGTTCCGATGTTTACGTTCTTTTGATTACTAGAAACACATGCAAAATCGGTTTGTGTAAAGCTTTAAAAATTGAGAACAAAACACAATAAAGCTATATTTGCGTGTCACATAAGCACATATTTATTTCGAGGAATGACTTAACCATCTGGCACGGATTTCGACATGCAGATTACCGACATTTGGAATGGTAAACGCTTTCTCGCCAGCTACAGCGACTAGTATTTGTGTTTAGAGAATGGCACACTGTATGCGAGAAATGATGCCGGGACCCACCGCATGACGGCACCACGGTAGCTCGTCCAAATGCCAGACAATTAGAGAAAAGCTCTTGTAATCTTGACGACTGTGGGGGTGGGGTTAAAAATTTGTTGTGTTGAAAAGGAGGGACACAAAAGACAAATGACTGCGGTAGGGCGTATGGTTTCATTTCACGGGTTTGACTCCAATACCATTTCCATTTGAAATCTCTTTTTAAAAGCAGTGATGAAAAATCATTGTTCATTTCCGAGTATTCTTACCTCAGTCATTTTATTTTCTGTGGAGTTTGTTTTACGTTTTTCTTTATTTCATTCTGTTTTTGAGAGCCTTTGTTGTTGAGTTTCCGCTGTATTCAGAAGCCAATGTAACACCTGTTGCCTGCCGTTGTGAGATGACTTTCCAATTACAACGGACATGAGATAGCCTTATTAAAAACCTTCCGATACCAGATACTTCTAACTCAATTCTGTGCCAGTACGACTGACAGGCCATTAACTGAAAGAACAGGTAACCTGGGAATTCAAATATAAAACGTTGCTTGAGCTGAATAAACTCATCGACTGCAATGTTATTAAAAACGGACGCCCCTTGTAATAATGAGGTTGACAGTGGTGCGAAGTACTGCAATGTGAAACTTCAAAAGTCGCGCATTTAGGAACAACACACATCTTTAGCAATATCTATTAAACGTCGTTGTAATCTTATTTAAATACGCTTTCTGGAAGCCACTATGGACCTTAAGACAAAATTTTTAACCGATCGTATGGACAGATATCCTGCAAAAGATGTGATAATAATATGACTGATATTTGTTTGTCCTTATAAATTTGCTTACGTGTCTGCCTAGGGTTTCCCTTTGCTATGTAGATTAACAGGGCTACAAATCTTCAGAACGAACTGCGAAAAAATTTTCCTATCAAATAAAACTTGCTTAATTATTAAAATAATTATTATATTTGTTTACCGCCAAATCACAATAAAATAGTAAGATAAGATAATTAAAATGATTAAAATATCATCTTATGTTCCATATCGAGCATTCGATTTACATCGGAACATTCACATTCAATGTTTCGGTTTATCAAACCGTCATCAGGTGTAAATTATAAACTTTTAAACTCAAATTACAATTATTTATAGTTTTTACAATTTTATAATTTTATCATCTTTCTCAGTATATTTTATGGAAGTTGTGTCTAGATATTATTAATATAACATTATTGTTGAGGTGGTGTTATTGATGTTTATACCAGTCATATATGAAATAGCAATCGGTTCAGATGTGTTCAGAGGAGAGATCCAGAAGTGTTACCATCTCAGAACAAGTTTCGTTATTGACTGCGGTGTAAGTGGGTGAAAGGTGGTTTGTCAGGGTTGGGGTCAAGGTACTGGAGTGCATTAAAAATGGGGTTATTAAGAAAAATGTTATTGTCGTTTAGGCAGATGTTTTGTTTATAAGTTTGTTGTATGTGATATTTTTCTAATTGTTTAATTATTTAAAAGACGTTATGTTCAAACACAAAATACTAGTTATTTCTTACGTTCCCATGTATAAAATACCGTCCGTCTAGAAACTTAATGTATATCGTTATTTAAGGTGTGGTTCATAACGTTAAATTCATCTCAAAGTATAGAACAAGACATTATTTAGAACTAAAAATAGTCGATTATGTGAATACACTTGGAAAAAAAAATTGTTTCCTACTTTGTGATACAATTATACCTTTTCTACGTAATATCTGTGTTTTTAATTTCAGAGTCGAGTGATTTTTGCAGAGGAAGCCTGGCTGTTAACACATGACCCACTGACCAGAAAGACAGTTTCTTTGGGTTGCGAGCCCTCTCGTGAGTTTCTGCAGGATTTAATTCGGCGTCAGGAGGACGTTAATTTCAATGGGTTCGAAACTTTGTCATAACTAATCTGCAGACTTGCATTCGAACTGAACGCTGACACCGATACCAGTGTTGCACTGCAAACTACAGGTGTCATTTTCATTGAGATTTCAGTGTATTCTTCAGTTTGTAATGTATCAGAGATGCAAATGTAACAAATAAATATTTAAGCCCATTAAAACTATTAAAGTTAAAGAGAAGAATGAGGATAGAATTTAAAATTGATCTTGAATATGATGTGAGGACGTGCACTGCATTCAAACCACTTAATACTCTGACAAATAATGAATTCTTATGTACATACGTTTTCGCTCGTTTCCAATCATTCGATATTTTCCGATATATTCAGTCAGACTGTCACAAATTTCGGTACCCCTGTGCCAATATTTGGTACTCTGTATTTACATTTGACTGTTTTCCAGCATAAATCTTTCACATGAGTTCCAGTAAAATAGACTTGAATCATCTACTGATGTTACGTATAGTAACAGCTATTTTATACACACCCTATAGTTATAAAAGGTCATAGTTCACCATAATATTAAAAGCGCCTTCGTACTTGGTGAAAGTAAGTAAATATGAAGAATTTAAAATTTTTAGCCATATGCCCCTAATATATACCGCGGTGGTCTAGCGGTTAGAACGCTGGCCTTGTAATCCTGGGGTCTCGGGTTCGATTCCCGGCGGTTCCCGAATTTATAACTTGTGTTGGGCAAGACCGTGGTCTAGGCAACACGGAGTTTTCCTCCGTGGCATCCCAACAATTACTCCATTCACTTCTGGATCATCTGCCAAGAACGTATATGAACAGGTCCCAGTCCGAGAAAAGGATGGAAGGATTCTGTTCATATGGACCTGTCGTCAGACAGAACACTAAATAAAATAAAATAAATAAATAATGCCCCTAACAATCTTCACTGATAAGATACCTTCGTGAGAAGCTAATTGTAACTTAAGAGTAATCCTAGCGCTTTTATGGAAATCAATTTTGCATTACCGTGTTCGTGAAATCACACATCTGGTTTCATTTGTCAGTCAAAACATAAACCTAACAATATTTAGTAACAACTAGAAAATAATTGGCTGCTGTACATCTTTAAGTGTTTGTTTATTCATCTGTTCCTTGTTCCCAACCTGAAATTTCTCCTCAGAATATGAGACTAAATTTCGCAAATAATGTGAACCAATACTAACGTGTTACCTACGTGTGTGTGTGAGAGACAGACATATAGACAGACCCTCGTTGTCTACCTGTAGCAATCGAGTACAGCATCATTCAGTGAATTACCGGTTTTCGTCCAACCTACTTAGATAATCCAACCCCTCACTTGCTACAAATTCAACGCCTTTCCTGTAAATTATTCTGATACAAGTTGCAGTACTGAGTATAGGATCTAACCCTTCTTCTTGTATTTATTTCTGTCTGTACATTACAATATTTATAGCCATGTTTTAAAGAGACGACAGACCAAGAGATATGGCGATGGCCAACTCACGCGTGCAAGACAGAATTAATTAGATGTGGGGTCTAGAAGTGGCGTTTCACTCCTCAGACTTGCCTTGTACCCAGGCGCGTGGGGGTAGAAAGAAAGGAGAAAATGAATAAGATCGAAGGAAATAATAGGAGAGAACAAGAGATATTCCAGGAGAAGATCTGACAGGCATATTAGGTAGAAGCCTATAGATTGTAATAGCTTATAAGCTAACGCGGTGAAACCAATGGTTTTTCAGGAGACACAAAAACACTAGCTTATTTTTCGTGTGGTTAATTTATAATCATTCGGTCACGTCTGGAGAGACAAATACAATGGTTCCGTCGCTCGCTGGAGCAGGCTCATCCCGAAGGAAGTTCAAGAAAACTGGGGAGAGTTTACATGCGAGGCACTGAAGAAAGGAGAATCACTCACAATATTGGAAGTGAGATTAAAGTTTGTGTTGTGTTTGACGTTCATTTGAAGACACAATTTACAGTTGTTAATTACCTTGCACGGTGCCTATCGTTCAACCCTGTCCCTACTAAAATTAAATAGAACAGTTTATTCTGTTCAGAATGGACAACAACTTCGTATGTCGACCACCCACAAAGATGCAATGTCCATTTCGCTCTTAGTAAAAATACATCGCGGATGGATTTCAGTAACGAAGCATTAAACAGCCTCATTCGAAATATAATTTTAGGTGAAGCCCGTAATCATTCACGTTTCCGGTGGCATGTTCCACCCAACTCAAAATTTTATTCAGATATCATAATCTAGCGGTTAGAACGCTGGTATTGTAATCCTGGGGTCTCGGGTTCGATTCCCGGCGGTGCCCGAATTTGTAACTTGTGTTGGGCAAGGCCGTGGTCTAGGCAACAGGGAGTTTTCCTCCGGGGCATCCCAATAATTACTCCATTCACACACAGAAGAAGGGAATGGCAAACCACTTCTGGATCATCTGCCAAGAACGTATATGAACAGGTCCCAGTCCGAGAAAAGGATGGAAGGATCCTGTTCATATGGACCTGTCGTCAGACAGAACACTAAATAAAATAACATCATTTATTTGTTTACGTCGTTACATATTATGCGTAAAATATGGACCCTAACATCTTCACTCGTGAAGGAGAATTTGAGGTTCTCACGGAGGTGAGCTCCAAGATGGTTTTCTTCTGGTTTGCAGCGACTAATCATCTTCAAGACGATGGAGGCAGAATATCAGTTATTCGCTGGAATTTTATTAATTTAATTAATTTATCCAAGTTCCATTTATTTGATCGTTTTAGTAATATTTGTTAAATCGTAAATTTTATTAAGCCCCCAAGAATGATGTTTTGTGCAGTTTCCTGTTATTTAATCCGTTTAGGTACAGACATTCTCAACTTTACTATGATCTCAGTCAAAATATGTATTTTTTTCTGTGGGAATGAACAAGTTTCAGAAAAATACAAAACTAGGTAAATTATAGTTATGTATTTTTTAATCTTTTTGTTTCCCTTATTCAACAATCTCAGCCAAGGTAAATCTCACATCTGCCATTGTCTCCATGAATGTGGCAAAGAACACTAAGACAATGCTGTCGTCTGAGCAAGAAATTGTGTAGCATATAATGAGATGGAACGTTGTCGTGTATGGTAAGAATTTACGAGAAGTCGACCGTGGTCTGTTTCTGAATTAAACTCTAACATTCACCCTGGCAAACTGGGGAAGTCAGAGAGATATAACACAGGATCACCGGTCGATATCCAAATCCGATACATTCCAATCTGATATTTTTGCTAGTCACATTAGTGTTTATAAAATATAAATTGTTTAAAGTTTCTACAAATTCCTTTTCAGCAGACAGTAGAGAACGAACGGTAATGTAGCAAGTTTCTTTTCCTTCGTGTTTTATACTGCTGATAGAAATGTAAATGAACATAAACCGATCATTCCAAGACATTTGTAACGTGGCTTTCAAACTTCAGATATCTTATGTGAGTATTTGGAGCAATTTTTGTTACAGAGTTCTCGGTTAAATCCACCCATATTTATTTAGATAGGTTCTATTATTTTTCCAACAGAGTGACACGTTTAAAAATAATGGAAATAAAAAATGAAGCTGAACAAGCAACCTTACATTCCCCAGCAACTTTTCTTGGAATAGCAAAAAGTAACACTATCCAGTCGAGCAGTGGCCAAAGAACGAGTGACGGTGCAAAGATGTTTCTCTCTAGTCACAGGGAAATACAAAGAAACAGACCAAATATATATAAGATGGGCTTTAGTTGCATAGAATGAAAAATTTGTTTCATCCTTGAGAAATTGTCACTCTTCGATAACTCCACCGTTGAAAAAGAGATTTACCCGACCTTCGTGTTGTCAGTGTGTGTTTTTTTCCCTTCTTCAGGAGGATCTATTCTTCAACGTTTTACACCTGACAATAAAATTAGGTTTGTATAAAATCACATTCAAACCTCGATGCCATACAAACAAGACTGAGAGATAGAGGCTCTTGTGAACCCAACGAACTCCCACAAACTCTGTACACTCAAGAAGACTTTGGTGATAAACAGCCTATGGACATTTTCCTTCCTATTTCAAATATCTCCTCCTCCCATACTTTCTTCTTTATTCCCTTATACACTCATTATTCTTATAAATTTACTGTGTCTTCCTGCATACGAGGTGCGATCGGAAAGTTTCAAGACTGTGTCAATAGAGGGCGAACCGGATGTAGTACGAGCTTCTGCCTTTAGGGGGTGCGGCCTATATTCATAGTGAATCAGTGTGCCAGCCGGCATCATCGAATTAGCATTTGTTTCTTAGTTACGGGCGTTTTGGTAGTGCATTACACCGACCCTCCTGCGATTTCGGAATGGCGGATTTTC